TCTTGGGGCAGGGCTATTATAGGTGGGTTGAGGTGCTTCTGTACTTTCATAGTCATTGAGCAGGTTGGATCGAGGTGTTGGAGAGCCTCCCCAGTTACTTGCCAAGCTAGGGGAGATGAGGGGATTGAGGACTCCTCTCTCTCTCAAATCTGAAGCGAGTGCAAATAGGGGGGTAGAGGGTCCTCTCCCCATCCCCCTACAAGATTAGGCGCAAGAGGGGAATGGGAGTTCCGGGTTTTTCCCCCCGAAATATTCAGAGCACGTCAGGGGATGGAGGGCCGCCCCTCCTCACCCCTTCTCGACAGGATAGGTGGGAAGATTTGTGTTTACGCCGTCCCCTCCTTAACAATCACAGGAGGGGGGGGGGGGGGGTTGGGCGCGCACCCTGTCACACACAGAGCCGCAGGGCAATCAGTGGGTTGGGGAGCTCCCCCCTATCAGGCACAGAGCAGGGCTGGTCAGGGGGTTGGGGCACCTTCCCCTGTCACGAACAGAGCAGGGCGGATAGGGAGGTTGTGGCCCCGCCCCCTGTCACACACAGAGCCGCAGGGCAATCAGGGGGTTTGGTCGCTGCCCCCTGTCACGCTGATCCCGGTGCCAGAGGCCTCGCGGCTCCGCTGATCCCGGTGCTGGGAGGCATATTACCCTTTTCCTATATAGGATAGAGGCCTGGTGCATGGGTGGGGGCCGGCTGGTTTGCCCTGAAGGGTGTCCTGGATCAGGATGGGGGTCCCCACTGGGGTGCCTGGCCAGCCTGGATGAGGGGATGATGGCTTTTTGCAGCTGGTCACACACCCTTCAGGGTGGGGGTCCCCACTGGGGTGCCTGGCCAGTCTGGGTGAGGGGCTGAGGGCTGTTTTCAGGCTGGCGGGTGACTGAAGCTCCCAACCGCTCCTTTTTTTCTTTTCTTTTTTTATTCTGGGCCAGCTTTAGCTCTGAGGCTTGGCTCCAGCTCTTAGTCCTCGGCTGCTGAAAGCAGGTATCTGGTTTGTTTGGGTTCTATAATTGAAACAATGTTGCGGTCCTGCTGGCTGAAGCCTGGCTAGCTGAAAGCAGGTTTCTGGGGTTTTGTTTAGCTTCTATATTTGTAACAATGTTTCAAACTGCAAGCTCAGAGGCTGGCAGCGGCAGGCGGGGAACGTTGGAGTCCTCCGTCACTGAAGCAAGCAAGCCTCCTGTTAGCTTCAAGCTGCCTGGCTGCTGGCCACCATCTTGGCTGGCAGTTAATTTGCATATCTCCCTGATTAGCCAATGGGAAGGGTAGCAGAGGTAGGGCTAATTACCATGTTTCTCTTTTATTAGATAGGATTATTAACTATATTCCCTATGCTGTACTTTACATCCTTGTGACTATTTTGTGGCTACCAATTTGTATTTCTTAATCCCTTCACCTTTTTCATCTCACCCCCCACACCGCTTCCCTCTGCCAACCAACAATCTGATCTTTGTATCTATGAGTCTGTTTCTATTTTCTTTGTACACTTATTTTATTCTTTAGATTCCACATATAAATGAAATCATATGCTATTTGTCTTTCTCTGTCTTATTTCACTTAACATAATACCCTCTAGATCCATTCCTGTTGTCATAAATGGTAAGATTTCATTCCTTTTATGGCCAAGTAATATTCCATTGTATATATTCTACCACTTTTTTATCCACTTGTATATTGATGGGCCCTTGGGTTGCTTCCATATCTTGGAAGCATATTAAATTAGTGCAATACACAATTCTTGAATTCAAGAAGAGAAATAAGATGATTTATAGGGTATTTGTATAAGGGATAACCTGGAGGGTGTGGTTGATCTGCCTGAAATGGTGTGATGGAAAGAGAGCTTGGATGAAATTCAGAAGGAACCATCTTCAATGAAGAATAATAGAGCCTTTTATTCCCCCCTCCCTCCCTCAAACAGATTCTGACAAGCTAACAAACATGATGAAGTTGGCAGAGCCAAGAATCAGAGATGTCATCAACAGCTTGGAACACGCCATTGTTTCCCGGAGCCCCCGCATCCGCTACAACCCCGGCCTGGATGCCAAACTCCTCTACCTCCCCTTGGCTAAGTTGCCCACCCCTGTGACAGATTTCATCCTGAGCCGGTACCTTCCAAGGCCAGCAGACAGTGTCTGAGCCAGGAAAGCCCAAGGAGTGGTCATTGGAGTGTAGAGGAGGGGCCTGGGAGAAGGAACTATGGGGTCACAAGAGGTGGCATCAGACATTCTGGGGGCACTTTGCTTGTCTGACACCCATTGCTGGTGAATTTATGGGTAATTTCTAACAGAAGATGAATCCTCTTCCCACTCATTGGGGCAACACAGAGACCTGAGGCGCCTTTGTAAGTTCAAAGACCCTCAGCATGGTCCCAAGAACCTCTGTCACCTGGTCAGTATATAGCTTTTTCTGGACATGGAAAAATCAAGGCGAGGATAACTAGCTCTTGCTGCATCACAAACCTCCCTCAGTTGTCACTGCCACTGAGAAATATTGTGGCATAATCCAGCCCACAGGAGAATCTCAACCACTTTCTTACTGGGTTTTTTAATATGCATTAACCTTTCACATAACCCATTATTTAAAGAATGTAGTAAGGCAGACAAGATTAATAATAGGGACTACAAGATTTACCAGGCAAAGTTTATAATATTTTCTCTCTTTTAAGTTCCTCTATCCATAGGTGATTGGGATCCACATGAAATAATATTCATTTATTTAATCAGCATTAATTAATTCTTTAAATATTTATTGAGTGCCTACTACATACCAGGCGTTGTGTAGTTGCTGGAAGGTTATACAATGATTAAATCATGGTCTTGATTTATTTTGTGGTTTTGTTTTTGTTTTTTACCAGTGTCTAATAGCAAAGATGGGACAAATGGTGATAAAAGAAAACATAAATAAGAAAATCACCTAATTCAGTGGTTCCCAAACTTGGCTGTATGTCATAATCTCCTGGCTAATTAAAATTACAGATTCCTAGGCCTCAATGTTAGAAAATATTATTCCGTAGACTTGGGATGGGGCCCAGAAATCTGCATTTGTAATAAGAACCTAGACGGTTCTGATGCACCTAGACACGTGGAAACTGTTGGTGGTCAAGAGAAGGCATTAACGTTCAGAGGAGGACATGCCCTATTCAAAGCACCCCCAGCACAGTGACCAAGGCAGAACTCAGGTGTTCAGATCCCCAGGTTAGGGTTTCAGTTATAGGAGAATACATGTCTGAAATTAGTAACATTGTGAAATAAGTCATGGAACTAATTTTAAAAAAATATACCTTAAATTTCTGAGCCATATGACATTCTATTGAAAAATACTTTTTTATCTTGAGGAATGGTCATGTAATAAAGGTAAATGTGAAAAATTTTTATTAAAATGTCTTTGTGTCGCCCTAACCGGTTTGGCTCAGTGGATAGAGCGTCGGCCTGCAGACTCAAGGGTCCCAGGTTTGATTCCGGTCAAGGGCATGTACCTTGGTTGCAGGCACATCCCCAGTAGGGAGTGTGCAGGAGGCAGCTGATCAATGTTTCTCTCTCATCGATGTTTCTAACTCTCTATCCCTCTCCCTTCCTCTCTGTAAAAAATCAATAAAATATATTTTTTAAAAAACGTCTTTGTATCTCTTCAACATCGGCTGAACTTGAAAGTAATAAAACTTAATAACATCTGCAAATAACTTATATTCTAAATAAGTTAACATTCATAGATTCCAGGGATTAGAATGTGGACATGTCTTTTTGGGAGCCACCACACAACCCACTGAGTCTGTTATTTGCATCACTTCTATTCTTGGCACCAAATTCTGTATCAGGAAGGATGCATTGGCAGCAAGTAACTGAAAAGCCAACTCACCATTGGTTTAAACAACAGAGTTAGGGCAGGATCCCATAATTGAATGATGACATCAAGATACAGGTTCTTCTGTCTCATTGCTCTGCCATCCACAGTTTTGACTTTAACCTAAATCCAATTATCTTTATGGTTGTGGTATGACTGCCAGGAGCAATGGGAACTCTGTGCTTCCTCATTCACAACTAAAGGAGAAGAAAGAGCCTGTCTTTCCATGGCATTAAAGATTAAGGAAGTTTCTTTCTCATAGCCCTTACCAAGGCTCTCCTTGAATCTCCTTAACACAAATTAGCTTGTTTGCCCATCCCTGAACCAATCAGTGACAAAGGGGTAAATTGCCCTGAATTGTTTAGATTAATCATGGAACGGAATGGGAATATTGGGGAGTCAGTGACAGTGCCTACTGCCTTGGAAAAATTGAAAACTCAGCCTGAGCTGGTTTGGCTCAGTGGATAGAGCATTGGCCTGCGGACCAAAGGGTCCTGGGTTTGATTTAGGTCAAGAGCATGTACCTTGTTGCAGGCTTCTCCCAGACCTGGGCCTGGTCAGGGCGTGTGCAGGAGACAACCAATCAATGTGTTTCTCTCACATCTATGTTTCTCTTTGTCTTTTCCTCTCTCTTCTATTCTCTCTAAAAGATCAATGGAAAAATATCCTTGTGTGAGGAATGAAGAAGAAAGAAAGAAAGAAAGAAAGAAAGAAAGAAAGAAAGAAAGAAAGAAAGAAAGAAAGAAAGAAAGAAAGAAAGAAAGAAAGAAAGAAAGAAAGAAAGAAAGAGGGAGGGAGGGAGGGAGGGAGGGAGGGAGGGAGGGAGGGAGGGAGGGAGGAAGGAAGGAAGGAAGGAATAAAATTAAAAATTCAGACTCTAAGCTATTCAGAGAGTTGAATATAGATCAAAAATAAATTTTCTTTGTGTTTTTTTAAATTAAATCTTTATTGTTCAGATTATTACATTGGTTCCTCTTTTTTCCCACCATAACTCCCCTCCACCCAGTTCCCACCCCTCCCTCTGCCCTCACTCCCCACCCACTGTCCTCATCCATAGGTGCACGATTATTGTCCAATCTCTTCCCACATCCCCCACACCCCTTTCCCCCACAAGAATAGTCAGTCCATTCCCTTTCTATGTCCCTGATTCTATTATAATCACCAGTTCATTCTGTTCATCAGATTATTTATTCACTTGATTCTTAGATTCACTTGTTGATAGATGCGTATTTGTTGTTCATAATTTGTATCTTTACCTTTTCCTTCTTCTTCCTCTTCTTAAAGGATACCTTTCAGCATTTCATATAATACTGGTTTGGTGGTGATGAACTCCTTTAGCTTTTTCCTTATCTGTGAAGCTCTTTGTCTGACCTTCAATTCTGAATGATAGCTTTGCTGGATAAAGTAATCTTGGTTGTAGGTTCTTGCTGTTCATCACTTTGAATATTTCTTGCCACTCCCTTCTGACCTGCAAAGTTTCTGTTGAGAAATCAGCTGACAGTCGTATGGGTAACCCCTTGTGGGTAACTGACTTTCTTTCTCTTGCTGCTTTTAGGATACTCTCTTTGTCTTTTGCTCTTGGCATTTTAATTATGATGTGTCTTGGTGTGGTCCTCTTTGGATTCCTTTTGTTTGGGGTTCTATGCGCTTCCTGGACTTGTAAGTCTATTTCTTTCACCAGGTAGGGGAAGTTTTCTGCCATTATTTCTTCAAATAGGTTTTCAATATCTTGCTCACTCTCTTCTTCTGGCACCCCTATAATTCAGATGTTGGTACGCTTGAAGCTGTCCCAGAGGCTCCTTACACTATCTTCGTATTTTTGGATTCTTTTTTCATTCTGCTTTTCTGGTTGGGTGTTTTTTGCTTCTTCCCATTTCAAATCTTTGACTTGATTCTTGCGATCCTCTGGTCTGCTGTTGGGAGTCTGTATAATATTCTTTATTTCAGTCAGTGTATGCTTAATTTCTAGTTGGTTCTTTATCACAACATCGAGGGTCTCACTAGATTTCTTGAGGATCTCACTATATTTATCGGCGGCTTCTAGACAGTTCTTTAAAGACCTTAAAAGTGTGGTTTTGAATTCTATATCCAGCAGTTTGCTTTCCTCCATTTCTTTCGTTTGTATCCTGTTTCTTTGTCTCCGCATTTTTTATGCTTCCCTGTGTTGAAAAAGTGGTTTTCTGTGCTGAGTGTCCTCTAGGGCCCAGTGGTTCAGCCTCCCCAATTACCTGAGGAGGACACTCTTGGTGCACCCCCTTGTGGTCTTTGTGCACAGTCTTGTTGTAGTTAAGCCTTGATTGTTGTAGTTATCACTGGGAGGAATTGACCTCCAGGCCAATTGGCTGTGAGAATCAGCTGTGTCTGCAGTGGGAGAACTTCTGTGCTGGAGACACCCCTCTGGGGCAAGACTTGCTTCAATGGGGCTTTGGTGCTCACTGAGTCTGCCCCCTGAGTGTGTCCTTTATGTTTCCAAGGAGCTGCAAACTGGATGGTCCCACTCTGACCTCTGGGCTTCCTGGCTCCTGGATCTCTAGGGAGGTGCTAATCTAGCCTTTGCCTGAGGCTATCCAGCAAAAGCCTCCCTGCAGGGCTTGGGTGGGGCGGGTCCCACAGGATCAACAGGGCGGGGCTAGCAGTTATGGCTGCTCTCAGACTTGCCCTTAGAGGCTCTGCTTCTCAGTGTCCGGGTAATCGCTGCAAGCCCCTCGGAGAGAAAGCTGCCCTCGGGTTCTGACCAATGCCAGACAGTCCCGCTTCTCCCGTATGAGTCTGGGTCCCTAGAGACTCGCCCGGAACTGGAGCTCAGAGCCTGAGACTCCCTCCCAATTGAAAACAACAACCGTGCCCTCAGCTGCCAGCCCACTCCACATGCACCTCCGCACCTCAGTATTTTACTTCCGCACTGCGCCTCCTCTGAGTCTCGGTATGCTTTTCTCTTTCCTTCTAGTTGTAGAATTTCCACTCAGCCAGCCTTCCTGTGGTTCTGGATGATGTCCGTTCTGTCTTTTAGTTGTATTTTTGAAGTGGTTGTTCGAGGCAGCTAACTCCGGTGTTTACCTATGCCGCCATCTTGGTTTCTCCTAAATTTTCTTTGTTGAAGACACAAAAATTTACAACTGGGAGACTATGGCTAGTTAATACTTTGAGATATTAATTTACACATTTTCATTGCTTTTTGGTTTCCTATTTCCCTTTTCCGCACTCAAGTAGGGAGCCAGCTTGTACTCCTTTACCTAGAGTGAGATATTGACAGAGTAGAACAAGTAAATTTCCTGCACTTTCTTCAGCTTTAGTTTTCCTAACCCCAATACCTTTGGAGAAATTACAGAATTTGGGTGGAAAAGCAAAAGAGAATGTGACTTGTGGGTGCACATAATGTTTCAGAGAAGCAGAGCCTCTCCCCTAAGGCAAGGAGATTCACTTTGGCTGGTGAAAAAAGAAGGTGAAGTTTAGAGCTTCCAGAGCAGGAGGGACCAGGGGTCACTTTCTGAAAGTACATTGGGAAGGTGGCTAGACTTGAGAGTTATAGCTGTGTTGTGTGTTCAGGCAGATGAGACCTTGGTGTCCTCAGAAGACTCATCTGTCCCATGGCAAGAATGCAGTAGAGAGTCACCAAATATAAAAGGCATGCAGATTGGGACATTTAAGATATAACTTATGCAGATAGAAGACAGCATTTTATGCTCATTGAGGTTGTGGGCCTCTCCAAGTCTGTGGCTCTTCAAACTATTGGAGGCAGTGACTGTTTTCTACAGAATCTAATTTTATAGTGGTTGCATGTCCTTCCACCAAGATCTGCTCAAGCAAGAATAGAGGTTTCTTCCCTTTTGCTACTGGCAGCATTTTGAGGAGGTATGTTTATTTATTTATTTATTTATTTATTTATTTATTTTACTGTCAGCTGGTTTTTATTTATTTTTATTTTTATTTTTTAAATTTTATTGCTTAAAGTATTACAAAGAGTATTACATATGTCTCCTTTTTTTCCCGCCCTTGACAATCCCCTGGCCTCCCCTACCCCCCAGTGTCTTATGTCCATTGGTTATGCTTATATGCATGCATACAAGTCCTTCGGTTGATCTCTTACCACCCCCCTCCCGCCCCCCAACCCTCCCTGGCCTTCCCGCTGTAGTTTGACAGTCTGTTCGAGGCTGCTCTGCCTCTGTATCTATTTTTGTTCATAAGTTTATAATGGTCTTTATTATCCATAAATGAGTGAGATCATGTGGTATTTTTCCTTCATTGACTGGCTTATTTCACTTAGCATAATGCTCTCCAGTTCCATCCATGCTGTTGCAAATGGTAAGAGTTCCTTCTTTTTTACAGCAGCATAGTATTCCATCGTGTAGATGTACCACAGGTTTCTAATCCATTCATCTACTGATGGGCACTTAGGCTGTTTCCAGATCTTAGCTATGGTGAATTGTGCTGCTATGAACATAGGGGTGCATAGATCCTTTCTGATTGGTGTTTCTGTTTTCTTGGAATATATTCCTAGAAGTGGGATCATGGGGTCAAATGGGAGTTCCATTTTTAGTTTTTTGAGGAAACTCCATACTGTCTTCCATAGTGGCTGCACCAGTCTGCATTCCCACCAGCAGTGCACAAGCGTTCCTTTTTCTTGAAGAGGTATATTTAATCA